TAATGTAATGCATCTACCTTTTGCATTAACTTTGTTCAATCGATTACATACTTCGTGTGATAATTTTTTTAAAAAATCTATCGCATCATCGTTACTCTCGAATCTTATTCCATAATTTACTTCTGCAGAGACAGATTTTCTAATATGTTCTAAATTAAGTTTCGAATTATCTATACCACGACACATATTATATAAAATTTCACTCATTTTTTTGCCAAATTCTTTTTGTAGTGTCGTCAAGGGAATTTTTTGTAATTCCGCACATGTTCGTATATTAATATTGTTTAATTTATGTGTTGTTGTCCATCCGACTCCTAGTTTAAATAATAATTATTACAAATAATTTTAAAATGAGTTTAGCACTATCAGCTTAAATACTCTACCTGGCAAATCTTGTACATTAAAAGAACTAATGCAATTATTAATGTCTTCTTGTTGTATATAAAATTGACCATTTGGCTTTGCTTTTCTTGTTGCTAATCTTGCTAATAATTTGTTTCTTCCAAATCCTGTTGAAACAGGACAACCAGTTTTCTCTTTTATTTCCTGTCTAATTATAGTTGCAAATTCCATTGGTGTTAAACCAGATTCTTCTAATATCTTTGTGCAATCTGCATACATTTCATCACAACTAACTGCTTCAATATCTAATGTATATGATGCTACAGTATCATATAATATATAAGAAACTTTTGTATAGCCTTCAAAATTATATGGTATTGTTCTTAAATCAGGACAAATTTTTAATGCTTCTCCTAAAAACATGCCGTTTTTTACACCAGCTTTTCTTGCTTCATAAGAACAAGATGCTATCTCTGATAATGAACACTGTTCTTCATCTCTATTTTTATTATCATCTAAGGTTTGTTTGTTAATATTTACAGAATTTTTATTGCCTTTTGCATGAGTTACTGCAACGGGCAAGCCTTTTAATTCTGGTTTATCCCTAAGACCAACTGAAACAAAAAAGCAATCCATATCTATATGCATAATGATACAATCCTGATTAATTTCCATCTTATTTTCTTCTTGTAAATCAATTAATTCATTATTAAGGCTTAATTCAAGAGAATCAAATAGTAATTTGTTTAGTTTTTTATCTTTTAATTTTTTAATTTTATAAATCCAGGAAATTCTCCATTATTTTTATCTCTTAATTCATTAACATATTCTTTGAATGTAGTCCCCATTGTTGAGATATGATGTAATCGTGAATGATTATAAAATTCTTTTATAAATTCTGGATTTTTTGTGGAATTAGCATCTTTTGAATTGATTGGTAATATTGGGATACTTTCTTTTATAGAAGTATGTTTAATTGCTTCAGTTATATCATTATCATTTTTCAGAGTACTTACTTCATTATTCTTTTGCACATCATTATGTGTTTCGCAAATAACATTTGTTTCATTTCTTATATTTTGTATTATGTATTTCAATTGGGGTTGTGCATTTGTACAATGAGAATAAAGCAAATAATTTTGAAAATTAAGAATTCTACCAGCTTTTATACTATCTACAATCCATTCAGGTTTACATATAGGAATTGGATTTTGACTTTTTTTATATAATATTATTTTTGAATATGGCAAATTAGATGCAATAATATGAGTTGTTGCTTTTGGCCTCATATAGTGATGAAATAAACCCCCATGTGCTATCATTAAATGACGAAGTTCATCTGCAGTTGGATTAGTATAACCATTTACAAAAATTGCAATTCCTTTAAATATATTAGATGTTTTAATTTCCTTGTTTGCTTCATTTATAAATTGTTCTTCTAATTTTGCTTGTTTAGCAGCCATATAGCCACCCTAAAAATATTTCATTATACTAATAACTTTAACTTTTCTAACAAAATTTTGAATATATTTTTCACATACCCAATCTTCAAATCCATTTTCCCCCCAAGTTTCACGTTTTTTCTTTCTTGACATTATAAAAAAAAGTTAAGTTAAATAAAATAAATATAAAAACTTGCATAATATGAAACTCTCACATAATTTATCATATTGGTTGACATATATTTATGTGCATGTTTTTTTATATAATATAAAAAGAATGCATTTTCGTAAAATAACCTTATAAAATATTTTGTTGAATATTTTGAATATAATTTAATACATAAATATGTATCGATATTCAACAAAGATTTATTTTATTTATATTAATTTTTTTCAATGATATACACTAATATGTAACACAACGATAATTCACTTCACATTACAATTGAGTTTATTAATCGTTCATATACATGCCCGATTCAAATGGCTCTTTCGACTAAATTCTTCAATAAATTTTTCAGCCAAAGAATAATATACACAAAATTTTTTCATTTATTTAACAATTATTTATACAATTCAAATAATATATATTACATATATATATATATATATGAAATTAATAGTAACTATATATATTTAGTTGTTACTAATTATTTATACATTTCAGTATTTCATTTACATTTATAAATTTCATAAAATAATATTTATTGTAAATATTATTCATAATTTCGTAATAACAAATTTGTATACATATAAATATTATAAAGTAAAAATATACATTTTTTATATTAATAACAAATATAAAATAAAAATCGTATCAAACGATTCTTTATCTATGGAGAATGTTTGTAGAATGTATTGTTTTTGTATAGCAACAAAAAGATTTGTCTATCAATGTAAATTATATGTGTAAATTATTACACACACAACATCCATATATAGATATAACATGATACAATCTAATTTTTAGTCATTTATTTCGAAGCTTATATAATTTTCTGAATCATCCAATATTTAAAGAAAATTAAAAAATATTGTGCGTTTATGTGTGAAATTTATAGTGTTCAACAAATATCAGTATATAAATAGAAATTATATTGAAAAGATGGATATTTTTTTACGAACATGTACTTTGAAAAGGTTAGATATGAAGCAAAACATATATAAAATATAAAATAAGATATATAATCAATGGATAAAATACAGCGAGGTCATAAATTATTGTATCAAAATCGATATCAATTCAAATTTTATCTTTATCAAAAAATGTTGCTATTTTATAATTGAAATACTTGTATAAATAACATTTGCATAGTTTTCTTCTCAACTAATTTTACGACCTAGTTATATTATTATTTAACCAAATTGACTATACTCAATATATTTTGAAAATATTCTTTCACTGCATATGCATGTATGTGTGTTAAATTAAATTGTTATACAGAATATGTTTTGTAAAAATTACGTATTTGTTCTAAGAAAATAAAAGTCAAAACAGTATGTGGACCTAAACGAGCATAATAAGGAAAAAAACCTTTCCATAATGAAAAAACTCCTTCATTTCGACACACTTGTATTATGACATCTATTGCACCCTTAAATTCTGGTTTACCATCCACAATTTTCATATTTTGAATCCTGCAAATTATTAGTAATGCAAAGTGTGAAACCATTTTCATAATTGGTTCACTAATTTAGTTTCTTTAAAATTTACCTTGTTTTAGCAATATCAACTGGCATAGAAGCAATAGTTGTAACTAAACCTGATATCATAGAACTTGTAAAATGTAAGAGAATATTATCCTCAAAATATCCTAATCAAATATATATAAAAAAAAAAAAGACATTATACTAATATCATTCATTTGAATCTTACTTATTTATATGTTTACAAACCAGTATTAAGTAAAGTTTCTTTAGATTGAGAATATGATGCCAATTGAGCTGCATTTACAACCATAGCTCTTCCCATTGTTGGAATAGTACCTCTCCATAATGCTAAAAAGCCTTCTTCTTTGGCTATTCGAATTAATGCATTAAATGCATTTTTATAATTACGTCTTTCAGCTAAAAATAAATATTCCTCAGAATTGTAAAATCTTTATTGAATATTCAACTAACATTTGGCATACCAAGAGGTAATCTACCATCAGCAGTCATTCTAATTAAGGCAACTTCAGCAGGAGTACCAACAAATGCTCCTACACAACCAGCAGAACTACCTATTAGTAGTTTCATAATAAAATTTGGTTGTCTGTCTTTTCTGAACAAGAGGAATACCAAATTCTATACATATTCCATACATATTATTTTTTTTTAAATTGATATGAGTTTAATAGAAATGTACTCACGATAATAATTCAGACAACCATTCAAATGTACCAAGTCTTGTAGTCGTATATGAAGCCTGACGTAATAAACCAGCAGATAAGCCTGAATAAAAAGCTAAGATACCCTCATTTTTTAAAATTGAGGATATTATATTTATTGTTGATATTTTAATTCCACTTAATTGCATTCGATTTTTTATTAAATCTAATGGTTGAACAACACATGTTGCAGCCATTCTAGAATAAAATAATCAACTCCTTGATAAACTTTCTAATCTAACTATAGAATTATTAATTTATATTGAAAAAATCAAAAACTTTTTTTTATATTTTGTAAAAATTTAAATAAATTCTAATATCATAAGATATTATTTAATATAAATATTTTATAAAAATACAGTATTTGAATTCAAAAGTAAATATTTAATTCTTTCATTAGTCTTTTATTTATATTTTTTAATATCTATATATATTATTTTTTAAAACATTATTTGTAAAATGATAAAAATAACAAACCCTGCAGTTCCCCCAAAAAGGAAATTTATTGAAGTTGACACTGATTTTTGGTTGCTCATTTTAATAATTTAGTATAACACTTATATTGATAATAAAATGGTAATTTTTAAATTAGGAATGGTTTAAAAAGAGTTGCGAGAAGAAATACTTGTGATAAGAAAAACACAGTATGTTTAAAATGAAAAAAAGAAGCACCAACTCAATATAGACTAGATAGAACTCTAAAATAAACTAAGTAAAAGATTATTAAAATTCTCGTGAAATTCCATCCTTCGTTTACCGATACTAAATTATAAAATTTTTGCATTTTAGCGACATCTTGTAGTATAAAACTATACTTTATAAAGAACAACGAATTCAACCATGGCTATGTTAAAATACTAGTAGAGAGATAATATTCGAATAATACCGATAAGATAGAACCTTTTCACATGAAAATTAAAATTCAATTTTATTATTTCGAAATTTGAAATTTGATATTAAGAAAATCAAATCTTTGAATATCGACTATTCAAATATACTATATATTCAAGTATACAGTATATTCAATATACTATTATCAACAGCAATAATGTACTTACATATCAAGGCAAGAAAAAGTAAAAAGAGAGAAATATATAATTAGAAAAAATTTTATATACATATATATATATATATCAAATAGCAAAAGTTTAATAAAGATAGTTTAAAATATTTTGTTTTTTAAAAAATATAATAATTTTAAATTTATTTAGGTTAAAATAATTATATTCGTTAAATAACTAAAGAAATTATATATAAAAAATTATGAAAATCAAATATTTTTGTTCGTTATATGTAATGAACATCTAAATTTTTTAGAAATTTATTATTAAATGAATTGCATATAAAATTTTTTATATAAAAAAAGAATAAAAAAATAAAAATACAAAACTCACCATTCGTCGAATGCATTTTATTGAAGATAGTGTTCACGAAAAATATGATGATTAATAATTGATTAAATTTATGTTGATTCCAAATATCTGTCATAAAAAATATTTCAATAAATTATTACTGTTATCTATGAGAATCTATTATTTAAAAAAGATTATAAATTATATTCAATAATAAAAAGTAAAAAATTATATCAAACGAATCAAGAAATTAATCGACATAGTCACGTTAAATTTTAATATACATGTATGTAATAGTTAAAATAATATTCATATTTTTTATTAATAATATATTTAATAGTTTAAAAGACTTACCACAATTAATTTTTTTATTTAGTTGTACATTTATTTCACATTTTAACACTACTTATTATCATTCTATTATATTCTAGATAAATTATTATAAATTCAAAGATGCAAGAAGCGCGAAGCATCCATGAACCGATAGAAACTGAAAAGACATAGATCATATGAATACTACGTTCGACATTCGAAAAATCGAATAGAAATATGTAAATATAATAAAGAAACTCATACAAAAACTTTAAAAAAGAAAATCTTTTAGAAAAAATAAATATTTTTTGATAAAAAAAATTTTTCATTATTTGAAAAATCTAAAATTTATTTTTTCCTTGTAACAATAACATACTAAAATTTATTAATTTTTTGAAATATATAAAAATAAAGTTTTTTAAAAAATGAGATATAAAATATTAAATTAAAAATATATATAAAATTTTTAAAATCATATTTATATTTATTAAATTTTTTATAACTTTTATAAAATAATTTATGAACTTGATTGACTAAGTTAATAGCCCGCCCTAAATTAACGTATTCTTTCGTTTCTTACCAACACAGATTCTCATGTATCATTTATGTGGTGGTGTGTGTGTGTGTGATTGGAAAGAACGAACGATGAGCTGCTGCAATAAATTAACAAAATTTTGTGGGAAAAAAGCTTCTTTTCATAAACAAGTAAGTAATATAATTATATAATATTCATATATATGTTCACAAAATAATCGAAAGAAGAAAATATTGATATTTTGATCAAAAAATAGAATATGTCACGATGCGCATGCGAAGTTATTTGATTGTTACATTAACGGTTACTTTTTTAACGGTTTTTATATTTAAACAACAATTTATTTGATGTTTATTTATATAAATTATGTATATCTATAATGTTGGTTTACCTTTTTAAAATAAAATAATAACATAATATTAAAATTAAAAATTCGGAAGATTTTACAGATATTACGAATAATGCGTACATATGATTTACGATCGAAATCTTTACGAATATGGCTAATTTTTCTAAAGATCTTCTTTTAAGTGTAATTTTTTGATAATTTTTCGATTTATTTCTTTAATATTTGAAAATAATTTTTTTCTTCTACAGTATTAAAATATATTGTAGAAGAAAAGAAATGAATTCATTTAATTATTCGTTCGTAAGTGACATATAACATGATTTCATTCGTTTTCGTAAAAAAAATGGAATCTATATTAAAAATATTCTATTATATATCCACATACATAGAATGTTTTTAGATATAAAATTTTAAAATTTCAATATTTTCAAATAATATATACACGAAATATATGATTGAAAGATAATAATGTTAATAATTTTTGTTTCTAGTATATAATTATATATAACGGAAGAAGATTAAATCAAGCATTTCTGTAAGTATTTTTATTTTTATTTCTTATCTTTTCGTTTATAATGAGACGAATGAACAAAGGATACCAATTGTACGATGCACAGTACAGTAAGCAGATAACAATATTTACAAACACCTGAAAGATTTCAGTAGGTTGATTCTTTTTGCTATTCGTTTTTCTACATATTAAAAAGAATAATATGCACATTAAAATAATAGTTTTTTCGGTAGATAATTAATGAAAAGTTTTTATATACGGTAGGCGCATTTTTAGTTTTTTTTTTTTTTTTTTTTTGTATAGAGACATCTTTTTTTTAAACTATTTGCTAACATTGGTATTTTAAAATTTTATTAATTGAGAATAATATTAATAATTTTAAACATAACCTGTTATTTTTAGAATTCTATGTCTCTTTTCGTATATTGCATTTGTATAATATTTCTATTTGCAATTAATGTAACATAATTCGATATTTAATATCGTTAAGAAAATCTATTTAGATGTAAAAATGTTGTAAAATATTTTGTTCGATCGATATATATTTACTCGATTGAATCGGAATGCGATTTTTTAAGGTGTTTTGTAATTTGATACCTAGTTCGTAAGTATAGGCATTAATTACGTAAAAATCGGATTTCTAGATTGTTATCCTCCTCCTATGCAAGAAATAGTGAGAAAAATAAATTTTTATTTTAAGGCCGTTGATTCAAAGTTTTCTAACTACTAGTTTGGTTAAAAATTTACGATAAAAAATTTAATTAGGTTTAGCTAAGTTTTCCATAATATTTTTTTATAAGATATTTTTTTGTATTTTGGCATTAACTTTATTTAGCCAAGTTTATACCAAGATAAAGGTAGATACATGCATACGCCTGTATGTATACTTGTACGCATACATGTATGAACATATGCATAAGTTTATGTTGTATCATATCCAATCTTACGATTTTATTTTTCTTTTTCGTTTTGAATCTAATAGTCAAATTATGTGATATCGAATTGTTATCACACGTACAATTTTGAACATTTTTTTTTCTTCATATTCCTCAATCTCGCGTAAATCTCTTAAAATTATGCATATATTAGAAATAATTATATTTTGTGCTTACTGACATTTCTGTTCGTTAAAATGACAAATGTTTTTTTCGTAGTTTTTTTGAAGAGTGTAAAAAGTAGTAGAATACGTGAAATAGGTTAGATAATATTACAATATGTTTAGCTTGAATTATAAGGTGAGGAGCATAGAAACAGTATAACAAAATATATGAAATATTTATAAAACAGCTGTTTTCATTGACATTTGTGAAATTGTGATAATCATAATAAATATAAACATTCTTTTTACGAATATGAAAAATAAATCCGAATGATTATTTAAAAAAAATATTAATACTGTGTGTGTGTGTGTGTTGAAGAAATGAAAATGTAATTCAAACGATTAATCATATTGAATTGCTCGTTTGAAATAAAATTTTATATATCGAATCATAAATATTTAACGTCACAGATATATAAATAACTTTTTTTATCGTTTCACAAATGGCAACAAAAGATGAACGAATACAATTGTCGTGCATGGCCAAAGCCGTGCCTTATCACATACGTATTCATAATAGTGATACACTATTTACATTGAATTTGTTCAAGAAATACTTACAATTGGATATATCCCGCGCGCAATAGTCTCATATAATACATTAATTTTAAATTAATTAATTAATACCATTCATTTAATGTATTATATCTTGAAATATGTGTCTCGAAATAAACATTGTTTCTCAATGTGATAGATACTCGAGTTATAGCTACATACTTTACAATAACTATCGTCTAATTTGGACGTTGGCGGATACATTAAAATTTGTTGTGCACATTATTGCTACGCTAAAGTTTAAAACTTTTTTTCATCGATAATTTTAAAGTCTTTCGTTTCGAAAACAAGACTTTGCAATAATTAAACCTTAAACGTTGAATTTGTTGTTCTTTATATTTGAAAACAGTACGAATGCTCCTAAATGATATATTTTGCCGATTTATTTTTCAGCAAAATTATCGCAAGGGTAAATTTTTAAATAAACGATGTAGTTTCGCTAACTAGATTTAATCAATCACAGCAACACGTATGCGCATGGAATGACATAAGCAAAAAGTTTTCCGAGGAAGAGATAGATAGATACTCGATACAAATTGCATCGTTATTCGGATTTTAAATTACATTCACGATATAAGAGGCGAGTAAAAAATATCTTTCAGATAAAGTATCTTCGATTTTGATTATTCGAAAATAAATTACATTTATGAAAAATCTATGAACAATTCACTTCGCATACGATTTACTTTTTTTTTAGATTAAAAATTTATGATTGTACACGTGTGTTCCATTCTAAGAAATTCGGATCAGACGAGGTGTCGACTCTCTAAACAAATATTAATCTTTAAAATGAGCAAGGATATATAATTTATATCATTTATATTTTCGTTTGTTTGTTCGTTTTTTTCTTTTTTTTTTTTTTTCTTTTTTTGGACATGTTTCGCGTTTCGTAAAAAATGTTTTCATCGATAGAATTTCATTCGACAATACGAAGAATACGTTTCAATGCAATGAAGAGAATTTCGACCGATTTGTTCCTAACTAATCGATTGAATTCAAAATCTCGTGTTTGTAAAAAGTGAAATGTACATTTTGTAGAAAGATTTTATATTTAGGATTGAAGTACAAGTGATAAAACATGAATGTATCTTGAACACTTAAAAAACGAGTGGTTTTGGTTCCTCGTTGCCCTATCTTATCC